AAGTCTAAAAGACCCTTATTATTATAATGTCTTTACATTACAATATAAATATATAATATAGGCAGCTGTTGTTGTGATTTGGCACTATATAAATAAAAGTGAAATGAAAAGTTCAGTGACACTCATCTCACTCTGGGTTTTTGTTCAAACTTGGTTCTGTCAGTTTTCATTCCAAAATCATATTTCACAATCTTCATCAGTTTTAAGGTTAAACAGTATTAATGGAACCAGTGAGTTTTCTGTCCATGCTTCTGGTCTACAGTGTGCACAGAAAGGCTGATGAGTTCAACTTCACCCCATAACCAAACCCAGGATAAAGAGTTTCAGTGAAAGTGGTGTTGAAGGTGTGGAGGTGGATCAGAGTGTCAGAGGAGACTCTGTAGAAGGACAGAGTGCCAGCAGGACAGTCCACATACACTGCTACTCTGTGAGAAACATTAGATAATGACGTTACTGTAATGGGAGTCCGCTGTTGTTGTGCCAGGCGCTATACCCTCCATCAGTGCAGGTCAGACACCAGGACTGCTCATTGCCTCCAAATTTTGAGGCATCAATGTCTCCGTTCCTTCCGATCCCTCTGTAGCTTACTGCAATATAAACCTTTCCAACCACTCGACCTCCCAGTAACAGCGACCAGTCACACCATTTTCACACAGACTGAGGCCAGTAATCAAATCTCTCTGGGTGGTCAGGATACGGGTGTCCTTTCTCAGGTCTTGTCACTTTTTTGTTGCTTTCGGATAATTTGAGGAATTTGTGAGCTGTGTTTGGGTCCAGCGTGAATTACAGAAATCTACCAAAAAGAGCATAAAAATCTTTTGGTTATATTGTCTAAAGTTTCCTGTTTTTCAATGTATATCTATATTTAAACTGCATTAAGTTGATTTTTGGCTAAGTCTATTTTTTTAGTAGTGATGTTTCCATCTGGGGTAAACTACCTCCTCCAGTGTGTTGTAGCCTGCCACTGGGACGTTTGAGGACATGTCGGTGGACTTCATATTTGATATGACATGAGAAAATACTTAAGGGAAACAAGCTCAACATATGCAGTACCGAAAACTGCAAATGGTTTGAAAGAATCAAGACGTTCAAGATCAAAACTCTAAATTAAAAAGGTTTGCGATCCATCCCCTCCATGTATGAATTAAAAGAACGGGACTTAACATTCAGCCCTGATGTGGTTGATGAAGCACAAATAATACAATATATAAATGTTTGTTTTAATGTTTGCATTAAAGCAGAGGGGCGATCGTGGCTCAAGAGCTGGGAGTTCGCCTTTGTGATCGGAAGGTTGCCGGTTTGAGCCCTGGGTCAGACAGTCTCGGTCGTTGTGTCCTTGGGCAAACACTTCACCCATTGCCTACTGGTGGTGGGTCAGAGGGCCCCCTGGCGCCCAGTTGTCCAGCAGCCTCGTCTGATTGGGACTAGTAAAGCGCTATACAAATACAGGCCATTTACCATTATACAGTAACATTTACTACGCAAGAATGCACAAAATGCTATATCATGATGAATAAGAGAAAGTAATTCAAAAGAAAAACTATGACTCATTGAAAGTGGGGGAGAGAGCTCAACAGGGGAAGTATAAACATAGTACATTAGAAAAAACAAAAAAAGCACTTACACTTCCTCAGACTTGATTTTAACCACTCGATTCCCAACTGGGTCAGCTCTGCAAGATATGGGAGGAGAAATTATTATCTTCCTTTGTTATGGTACGTCGCAAATACTTCTAAACACTAAGATGCAGATAAAGTTAAATAAAGCAAAACACCAAATATAGAAAGATTGTTGTAATATTTGTGAAGTATCCCTTTGGTAAACACAACTAAGAGCAAATAGTCTGCAAAAGAAATCTTTGCATATCACAGAACTACTGAAAATCCTAATCCTAGTTAAGTTTGCATGTAGATGCGGAGGAGGACTTTTTCATGTTTTTAATCAGGGTGATTGCTGACCTGAGATTTTCTATTCTCCAGTGTGGATCATTCAACTCAGCAGCCAAAAGTTTCACTCCTGTGTCTCCAGGGTGATTGTAGGACAGGTCGACCTCTCTCAGATGGGAGGAGGGGTTGGAGTTCAGAGCTGAGGCCAGAGCAATACACCCTTCATGCGTGATCATGCAGCCTGTCAACCTGCAAACGCAAAACTACCATTAACTAGGATATATTAAATTTTATGAGATAAGATATATTATACTTCTTTTATCCAGGGAGTTGGAAAAGGGTGTCACAGGAGCCAATGCATTAAACAAAATCTATTTAAAAAGGCCATAAATGAAGTAGAATAACACAATTAAATAAAAGCGATTTAAAATATCCCAGTAAGGGAAAAACTTATAGAGTGAAAAGAACAAGCTGCAAAGTGAAATAAAATAAAATTTAAATAATACAAAAATGAAACAATACTGCAATCTGTGAATCTTAGAGAAAGAGCTCCATTGTCTGTGCAGCAACTGTTGCAGATTGAGGTTATTCTATATTATATTACATATTATCCACACCCATTTGGCTTACCTCTGAATCTGCTGATGGACAAACCCAAACAGTGTATTCAAACTGAAAAGAGCATTTCCCATCACTAGCAGACTTTCAGATGCTCCAGAATCACTGTGGACAAATACTGGGTGACCTAGTCACCTTTGACACTAAACCCCAAATTACCTTCTCTGATCAAACAATCGTCACCCAGCTGTACAATAAAGAGAAATACACACACACTTTTTTGTTTCTTTTTCTTTTTCTTGTTTTTTTTTTAAATGTCATAATGCATATGACTAAACCAAGTACATTTTCTTAAATTGAGATTTTGGAAAACAAATATGAGGTGCAATGACAATGAAAAAAAGTAAATACATAAATGTTCATTTTTAAAGCAACTCAGTAAAACAGAAGATATTGAACTGACCTAAGAGTTTCCAGGGCGCAATGTGGACTTTCCAGACCTCTGGATAGTGCCTTGACTCCTTTGTCCTGCAGGTCATTGTTACTCAAGTCCAGCTCTCTGAGTCTACAGGATGGAGAGCTGAGAATTGTGGACAGAGCGTCACAACTTCGTTCTGTAAGGTTACAGCCACTCAGTCTGGAAAAACATAGGAGAATAAATAAACACATATTTAAAAGAAAAGGAGAAAAAAAATCTGGTTTTAACAACTATCACATGAACCAAAATACCCAAACCAATATCTGTACCCACTTACAGAGCTTTCTTAGAGGCCGTGACCACTGGTAGCAGCCTCAGAAGTGCAACCTCAGAAGCAGAGTATTTCTTCAGGTCAAACACATCTAGATCTTCTTCTGATGACAGTAAGATGAAGACCAGAGCTGACCACTGAGCAGAAGATAGTTTATCTGTGGAGAGACTTCCTGATCTCAGGGACTTTTGGATCTCTTCCACTAGAGAACGATCATTCAGTTCATTCAGACAGTGGAACAGGTTGATGCTTTTCTCTGGACAAGGGATTTCCTCGATCTTTATCTTGATGTACTGGACAGTTTCCTCTTTGGTCGGTGAGCCACTTCCTGGTTGTGTCAGCAGACCTCGAAGGAGAATCTGATTGCTCTGCAGTGACAGACCGAAAAGGAATCGAAGAAACAAGTCCAGGTGCCCATTTGGACTCTCTAAAGCCTTATCCACACTACACTGGTAAAAAAGGTTTTCTCTTTGGAAAGTTGATTGTTGTTCTTCCATCAGATTGATACCAGACTTAATAAAGGTCAGATGGACATGAAGAGCAGCCAGAAACTCCTGAACACTCAGATGGATGAAGCAGAACACCTTGTCTTGGTACAGTCCTCTCTCCTCTCTAAAGAGCTGTGTGAACACTCCTGAGTACACTGAGGCTTCTTTAATATCAATGCCACACTCTGTCAGGTCTGATTCATAGAAGATCAGGTTGTCTTTCTGCAGCTCATTAAAAGCCAGTTTTCCCAGAGACTCAACCATCTTCCTGCTCTCTGGACTCCAGTGTTTATCTGGTTCAAATTTACTATATTGATTATACTTAATGTTGCTCAGTTTTGTCTGAACCACCAGGAAGTGAATGTACATCTCAGTCAAGTTCTTGGGAAGCTCTCCTCCCTCTCTGGTTTTTAGCACATCCTCCAGAACTGTAGCAGTGATCCAGCAGAAGACTGGGATGTGGCACATGATGTGAATACTTCGTGATGTCTTCATATGTGAGAGAACTTTATCAGATAGCTTGTCATCTGAGAACCTCTTCTTGAAGTACTGTTCCTTTTGAGGGTCAGTGAACCCTCTGACCTCTGTCAGAATGTTAACACAGTCAGAAGGAATCTGATTGGCTGCTGCAGGTCGTGTGGTTATCCAGAGGTGAACAGAAGGAAGCAGTTTCCCTCTTATAAGGTTTGTCAGCAGCACTTCCACTGAGGTGGACTTTCTAGGGTCAGTTATGAGCTCAGTGTTGTGGAAGTCCAGAGGAAGTCGACACTCATCCAGACCATCAAAGATGAACACAACCTGGAAGTCTTCAAAGCTGCAGATTCCTGCTTCTTTGGTTTCAGTAAAGAAGTGATGAACAAGTTCCACCAAGCTGAACTTTTCCTCTTTCAGCACATTCAGCTCTCTAAAAGTGAATGGAAATATGAACTGGATGTCCTGGTTGGCTTTGCCTTCAGCCCAGTCCAGAATGAACTTCTGTGTTAACACTGTTTTCCCAATGCCAGCCACTCCTTTTGTCAGCACTATTTTTGGTTCCTCTTTTCCAGGCAAGCCTTTAAAAATATCTTCTTGTCTAATTGTTGCTTCTGGTCTGTCTGGATTTCTGGAATTTTTTTCAATCTGTCTGACCTCATGTTCTTCATTGACCTCTGCAGTCCCCCCCTCTGTGATGTAGAGCTCTGTGTAGATCTGATTCAAAAGGGTTGGATTTCCTGCTTTAGCGATCCCCTCAAACACACACTGGAACTTCTTTTTCAGAGTAGATTTGAGATTCTGTTGGCACATGGAAGGAGATTCTGAAAGAACAAAGAACACCCTGTACTTAAAGAGAATTTACATCATAATACTGACACACAAAAGTGTTTTACTCTTGGCTGACGCAGAATAATTGTCATTTTGATTCTTGTTGAAGTGCAAATAAAATCAGCCTTTCATTACAAAAAAACCAAAAGCTTGGCATAAATGAAGCATGTGACTTCATTTAAGTACATTGGCACCATTTTATTTTTTACAAATGGTGCCAATGTACCATTTGTAAAACAAAAACAAAAACAAAAAAAAACGTAATTCTACTTTAAAGAAGTCTGTTGGTGTTATTAGCTTGCTTGGATGGTGAGGTACATTTGAAAATCGAATCTACTTAGGCTAAAACCAGCCAAAAGCGAAGCTTGATGCTGGGAGGAGGGAGCCCAAAGCCAGAGACGGTCAGAAACAGAAAGCAGACAAAGCACAGGTCCATAGTAACTGATCAAATATGTACAGCATTTGGTGGAAATCTAGCAAAGGTAGCATAAACTAGTTATAAATTATTTATGCTGAGCAAGTCTCTGTTTAAGCCTTTAGAGAAATATTCTTACTGCACTGCAAACAGTCAGCGAGCCTCTCCTTCTTCATTCTCCTCAGGAAGTGCAGTGTGATCTTCAGAAATGCTTCTCTACTTCTCTTCCTCTCCTCTTCATCCTCACCCTCCAACAACTCATCAACCTCTCTTTGATTCTCTAAGCATTGTGGGTAATCTGGACTCAGAACCTTCTGTATCTTTTTCAGCTCACTCTTCACAAAAGCGATGATGTTGTCCTCCAGCAGCTAGAACACAATACTCTGTGAATATCCAATCAAACTGAAATCATCAAGCCAATCAGATTCATGTTGTAAACACTAACAATGTGCTGGACTACAAGTGCAGCATAGAAATGACTGAACCGTATAGATGCCAGAATAACTGTTGTGCATGTACAGACCATAAATATGGAGTCCAGGTGTGTTTGATGATCGTGGGCAGACCGGCCTTTAGGAGCTCCTGAGGTCTGCTGGTCCACGCTGTGAAGAAATCATCAAGAATTAGAGACAGGGATTTTATTTCTCGAAGTTGGCTTGAGTTCCGGTGACGTCACCATCCTGAATGGCGGCCTAAAGTAATAGCTCCCTCGTGAAAATAGTTATTTCGTCCCTTCAGACCATCAAATACTAGACCTACAAATAATACTCGAACAGATGAGAGGGGCAAGAATGGGGAAGACGTGTGCAAACAAAGAAACCACCGCCGCAGAAACTGCAGATGCAGAAAATTCGAGGAGCAGCTCTCTTACGAAGGGACAAGAAGGCGAAGCTAATGCTAACCCAGCTCCCTCAAGTGCCGACGTAAGTTTGACAAAAATCTTGGAGGAGATTCGGGACTTCCGAAAAGACATAAAAGAACAATTAACTGGTATTAAATCAGAGATTATCAGCGTTAATCAAAAAATAACGGAGGCAGAGGTACGAATTGAAAAAGTGGAAGACCGTGTTCAAAATTTGGAACAGACGCTGAATAAGATGATAAAAGTCATGGATCAACAAGAAAATAAGTTACTTGACTATGAAGGAAGATCCCGACGAGAAAATTTAAGGATACAGTGGGGCAAAAAAGTATTTAGTCAGCCACCGATTGTGCAAGTTCCCCCACTTAAAATGATGACAGAGGTCAGTAATTTGCACCAGAGGTACACTTCAACTGTGAGAGACAGAATGTGAAAAAAAAATCCATGAATTCACATGGTAGGATTTGTAAAGAATTTATTCGTAAATTAGGGTGGAAAATAAGTATTTGGTCACCTCAAACAAGGAAAATCTCTGGCTCTCACAGACCTGTAACGTCTTCTGTAAGAAGCTTTTCTGTCCCCCACTCGTTACCTGTATGAATGGCACCTGTTTGAACTCATCATCTGTATAAAAGACACCTGTCCACAGCCTCAAACAGTCAGACTCCAAACTCCGCCATGGCCAAGACCAAAGAGCTTTCGAAGGACACCAGGAAAAGTATTGTAGACCTGCACCAGACTGGGAAGAGTGAATCTACAATAGGCAAGCAGCTTGGTGTGAAAAAAATCAGAGGAGGAGCTGTGAATACGGGGAACTGCACTGTGTTGTCCAGTCTATTTCCCCCTATTGGCAAGCTCACGCAAGTAGGGCCGTTTATGCCCCGGAAAGATAATTATACGTGCTTTAAGTTTTCCACAGATAAAGTTAAATATCGGTTGGGGGAAATTGACCCCAGTTGGTGTTCGGTCACCCAGATTGGGAGGACCACCAACAATGTGAGTGATGCAGCCACCCTAATTGGGACTTGGGCTAGGAGCGGGCTGTATTACTATTGCGGGCACAGGACTCTACTGGTTCGTGTTCCTCTTGGGAGCGTGGGGACGTGCGCGATGGTGAGACTAGGAGCGCCACTTATGCTAATCGGAAATAAGGTAAAATCAATTCCCTCACACAATACGCGCACTTTGGCAGCCAGGCGCAAAAGACACATTTTGAGGAAGAGAGGAATACATGACATAAATGTTTATGACCCTAGAATGAATTCCCCCACCTGGATCGACTCCATTGGAGTGCCCAGGGGGGTTCCAAATGAATTTAAACTTGTTGACCAAATAGCAGCCGGGTTTGAAAATATTCCAATAATTTCTGCTTTCTTTCCAGTGACCCCAAACAAGAATGTAGATAGGATTAATTATGTTCATTACAATGTGCTGAGGCTCTCTAACCTGACCAGAGACGGCATGGAGGGGTTGGCGGAGCAGGTGGGTCCGACCTCGTTAATGGGAGTGCAGAATAGAATGGCCCTTGACATGTTGTTAGCGGAAAAAGGGGGCGTGTGTTCTATGTTTGCCGATCAGTGTTGCACCTTTATTCCAAACAATACTGCTCCAGATGGGTCGGTAACCAAGGCTCTGGAGGGCCTAAAGAGCCTTTCTGAAACTATGCATGATCACTCAGGTGTTGGTAATCCGTTAGAAGGCTGGCTGACCTCAGTGTTCGGACGGTGGAAGGGGGTTATCGCTTCGGTCATGTTTTCTTTGTCTGTTGTGGTGGGTATTATGGTTATTTGTTGTTGTCTCATCCCTTGTGCCAGAAGAATGTTCAAAAGTATGTCTGTGAGGGCAGTGGACCCTGGAGTCACTACTCCAATGTCCATGATGCCAATGATGCATGTAGAACTGAATGTGTAGGCCAAGGAGGGACACAACTGTTTGTGACCTCTGGATTCTCCAGAGGTCAACAGAGGGAATTGTAAAATAAGGAGGGGATGTTTTTCTCATTATCATTTAATATTTTAATATGGCATTATTAGTTCATTAGAAGTATATAACCAGCTTTGCATTAAGCATAAATTGAAGTTTTTGACCTTACATTATCTTTTGCATTTACAGTGATGGCTATAATTTCAGTTTGATCTTTTTCCTTGCAGGTACCAGAATAATAACATGATTTTCCATTGCAGATGTAACCCTGATCATTCCATACACATTGCAGTTTGTTGCTTATTTTAGAGTTGTGCTCAAGTTAATTAAAGGTTAAAGCTACAGCCAGCGCGAGTCTGGCTGATCTATGGAGGGCAAAGGCTTTGAGCTTGGAAGGCCGCACGCGCTTACACAGCACTTATAAGATGTTATTCTTGGTGATTTTGTGCTTAGTCATGTTTTAATATGTTTTAAGTAGAAGTAGCTGATCCAGCAATATTCATTTAATATTATATACTTGATTTAGAGCAATACACACTGATGGTCTTAACAAATGAAAGAGTCCTTGTAGCTGCCATGTTGTGTCTTAGCAGGGTACAGACGGTTCCAGGAGACGGGGGCAGTCAGCGTCTGCCCTCGGGAAGGAGACAATGTTATTCTTTGTGTTAAATAAAATTGTCAACATTGATTGTATTACACCTGTCACTACGCATGAAGGGGCGTTCTAATACCCTGATTTCATAAAACTATGGTGATGTGTTTTTTGAGACGAGATCTGAGACTGTCTGCATACAGTGTCCATCTCCCACGTGTGTGATCATTAAATCATCGTTTGACTCAACCCGACCGGACCAGTGTTGTTATTGTGGGTTTTTCCTCTGGTGTCCATCCCCAATATTTTGAACCTTAACAACTATGAAGGAAGATCCCGACGAGAACATTTAAGGATACAGTGGGGCAAAAAAGTATTTAGTCAGCCACCGATTGTGCAAGTTCCCCCACTTAAAATGATGACAGAGGTCAGTAATTTGCACCAGAGGTACACTTCAACTGTGAGAGACAGAATGTGAAAAAAAATCCATGAATTCACATGGTAGGATTTGTAAAGAATTTATTCGTAAATTAGGGTGGAAAATAAGTATTTGGTCACCTCAAACAAGGAAAATCTCTGGCTCTCACAGACCTGTAACGTCTTCTGTAAGAAGCTTTTCTGTCCCCAACTCGTTACCTGTATGAATGGCACCTGTTTGAACTCA